CAATCAGATACGAGTTAGTCAACCCGGCAATCAGACCTCACTACAAATTGACTCCTGCTGCTCGTGTTGCTTTCATTACCAAAGTCAATGTCTTTTCATACGCAGCCATTTTGTTTTGATCCTAGGTGGCGCCACGTCTACCGTTCAGACGATCGAATGACGTTGTGCTGACCTCATTAACCCCAGGCACGTGCGGGAGAGGATGGCACTCCGTTTTCCGCCAACTTGTCAATACTTCCAATGCAATGACTTGTGATCTATACGCCGGTATCTGTCGTGTTGTCATCAGAACATGATGGTATATCGAACTTCCTAATTGGTATAGGTTGTTGTCACATCGGGTTTGTGTGAGTGAGTGAAATGTTAATTTCAGCAGTATTCAAGCTCAGCCTGGATATGGGCCATGCAAATTAGCCGTTGACAGCATAAACAACGATACACGTCGTCGGGGGACGCTGACATACAATCAGCCAGGTAACATCCGCAAATATAAAACCTTTGTAACCAATCGCAACCAACCAAACACTATAATTTAGCTTTTTATAACCAGCAAGGGGAGAGTGGGGTATAGTTATCTGGCTATCCTGTGTGACAACTCATTTGCGGGACTTCAACATGTAAATATGTGTGCCAAACTGGAGTGCAAAACCAAGCTCAGCGTTTCATCGCTGACGTCTTAGTGTGTCCATGCCTTTTTACTGGTCTTCTTTTCTTGCATGACAGCTGAAGGAAGGGTTGTGTACATTATGACCTTCTAAGCAACTGACAGCAAGTTAAACCTTGGCAGAAATGCAGTGAAGATGTTATTGCACGCCAGCTACAGATTTTACTGTAAAAAAAACATCATTACCCCCAATAAAGAAATGATCATGTTACAACTGTATATTCCTGAAAAAAAATATGTTAATAATATGCTTAATGCAAATGAGGTAATGTGGTTTCACGCCACAGCAATACTCCACCTTTCTAACATGAGAACCAACTAACAATCTGTGTACGAAGACATACGATCCGCCAGGTCACACACTGCAACCATCTTATCCTAACTGAGTTGTTTCTTATGACAAGCATGGGGACCTCATCATCCCCGGACTCTACGGGAGATAATGCGAATGGAATATCCTAATCAAACCCAAGTAATACTGTGTCCCGAGCTTCTGAGCGCAGCTCTAACAAGAAAGTGTTTCCACCTGGTAAGACGTTGATATAACTCTCAGAGCTGGCGTGGCTTAGTTTTTGCATCCTCCTCCCTTGATGAGGTTGATCAGTTAATAACAAACGAGCTACACGTTATCACAAAGTGTCAGTCCCGAGCGAGAGAATGGTACAAACCCAAGCCTTCATTCACGGGGGACAGATATTCTGTAATCCCGGTTTCTAATGGTTCTAGAATTTTCTCATGTTAAGAACGTACAACGTATGAAGTGTCAATACTACACAGAAACTGTGTCTGTAAACCTACTGTTCAGATTTCGTCATTTTATTTCAATCTCTGACTTCAGGAACAATGGATGACGCCTTACCAAAGTGTTCACAAAAACTAAAGCAACATGACGTCATATCGCTTCAATGGACCATTTAAAATCGCCTAAACGGACATGTCCAAATATCGAAAGATAGTATTCGTGTTATACCCCAATGGGTAATATTATTCAATACACTACCAATCCAGACACTATGGCATACATTTCCTTCATCAGACTGTAACATCGGTAACAACTAAAGAATAGTCAATTCCCGATCTCTATATCATATTCATGTACGTGATTGACCCAGACTCGGATCCATAAGACTGTCAATGGAAGTAAAATGGTCCGACGGAATTACTTCTTCACTGATATGTTTACGTGACAAAGCTGTCATCTACACTTGTTATACGTTATTTGTGATGGATGCCACACCTTTTCGCGAACACCTCGTGTCATCGCTATTTGATTGTGATGCATAAACACATACACGACTTCTTATGGCAGTGGAAAGGGTTTTGTCGCTTTTAATTTATTTTATTTATATACGTCACTCATTACGTCTTTGCGGACCCGTGAAGATCCGGTTTGGAATAGGTCTACAGCAACCCATGCTTGTCGTACAAGGCGACTTTCTTTGTCATAAAAGGCGACTAACGGTATCGGGTGGTCAGGCTCGCTGATTTGGTTGATGCATGTCATCGATCCCAATTGCGCGGATCGATTCCAATTGCGCGGATCGATGCTCATGATATTAATCACTGGATTGTCTGGTCCAGACTCGATTATTTACAGACCACCGTCATATAGCTGGAATATTGCTGAGTGCGGAGTTAAACAACAAACAAACAGCGTCTTTGCGTCACTGTATATAAATGCGATGTAAATCACGCCTCCTTCATGTCCGGACACTAGTGTCTATTGTATGACCCTGACTACATACCTATTACAGTGCGATGGGTTAGCCCAATGGTTAAAGCGTTCGCTCGTCACACCGATAGTCCGGGTTCGCTTATCCACAAGGGTACTAATGTAAAACCCATGTGTGGTATTTGCTGATGTTGCTGGTATATTGCTAAAGGCGGCGTAAAAACATACTCACTCATATAGATCACCGTGTTCTCTTGTAAACCGGGACAATAGCCCTTCCGTGTGTATATTCACATGTTGTCTTAGCAAAATGAATCACGGTCTTCATAACCAAAGTTCAAATCACATTAAAAATATTACAGTCAACAAAAAACTGCCATTTCTATTTTAACACCAACGTTGGTCTATTTTCAATAAATAGGCACACCTCCCTAATGTTTTGCAATAAATATTTTACAGTTTGACAGAAACTGAAAATAACTTTTACTGGTGGCGTAGTTTAATGAGAGGTTGTCACGGGGTAGAGGTTTGTTATATAGGGACTACATTGAGGTTGAGACGATCGCGGTTATATCATTGGCCCGTGAAATATGGCCAATTGGCTTGCCAGAAATAGGACCTAACGACCATACCCTCAGGCAAGAAAACGTGCCTCTCTCATAGGGCCTGTGCGATTTCGCGGATGATGAGCTAGGCTTTGTCCAGAAACTAGCAGATTTTGTACGCTGCAGAAATAAAAACCATCAATGTTGGTGGATCTAACGATAATGTGAACCTTTGTTATATTGTCCAGTCAGGCCAAAGAATATTTCCAGAAACAGGTCTTCGAACATAATTACATTTTTATTCTATGTGAAGGCTGTGACACGTCATCCTTCACAATGTCCAACACAGAGACAGCCATTTACGGTTCCGTCCACAATGGAAGGTGATTATTCGGAGAATATCTCATTAGATGTGAAGGAACACAGGGAGCACGAACAGTAGTAGGATAACAATGTAGTTGTGCCATGCCATATCATGTCATGTTTGAAAGACAGGCTTTGTTAATGTACACTGGAACATTAGGTGAGTAAGTTCACGCCGCAATGTGTCATTTAGCAGACTGAAAGATGGTTGTCGATTAGCACTGACTTAGCAGTGTCACAGTCATATTTGAGGACCAACGTGAAGATGCTTGTTAGAATTGGTCTTCAGCAACACATGTATGTTAGAACGGGAATCGGTGGTCAGACTCACTGACTTGTACATGTCATTGTATGCCATTTGAGTAGATCGATGCTCATGATGTCGATCACTGGATTTACCGGTTCAGACTCGATTATTTATAGACCGCCGCGATGTAATATTGCCGAGTGTGGCATTAGACAACAAAGAAACAGATCGGAGAATGGGTTTCAAACATTCGAGAAAAGAACCAGGTTCTTCTCAGTGACGACTGAACGTTTTTGCCTCCAGGTTACGTCACCGCTCACTCGCTGCATAGAAAACATCTGAGAGATTCAGGTGGAATTAAGGGTTTAAGTGCAACATGAATCTCGTAGCAATACTAGGAGAGATTGGTGACCGATAGATACGTCACGCTCTGCAAACTGGTAATGGTCACAAGCGATGCGCAACGAGAAAACGTTAACCTGTGGCGCACTGGTCGAAAATAGAGACTTGTCTCCTCTCCATCATTTTGAAAAATGTCGCTGTCAAGAGACGTATCTTTATAATCTTATGTCAGGTACTATAACGACCTGCGCTGATCCATAACTATATCTCAATTATGAACGTAGCGTGCTTAAGTCAAAAACGTTCCCCAGATGATTGGTGATATAAAATTATAGCATCTAACGTGGATAAAGCGCAAGCTTTAATGGCAAGTGTGGAAAATTATAGATACAGTAACTGAATTGCAAAACGCCCTTAAAATGAAACTAACGGCTATGTCGTACTTGTAATGCATATTTCTGAAATACAATTATCCCCCCAAGAGTCACGTTTCAAGTTCGATTTAAAACATTTTATTTGCACAGATAAGTTATTTTGTACTTGACAAGGAAACACGAGATATAAGAGATGCAATGTGGTATTTTTCTCCTGAGATGATACCTTCATTTGGAAAAGAACCATTCATCAGGGTAAAAGTTACATCCAGTGCGTGGAACTTAAAATTTCTCTTATGGACAAAACGCATCCTGCATCACTCTGTCGCCAGTTCCTGGCAGGGTATGAGGGGATATCGTGGGTCATTCCATGTTTACTATCCCTACACACGGGTTCTTGTCGATTCTGACATACAGAATCAATACCCCCAGCCGGGCTTCCTGCTTCTGAATAGTCTTCAAAATCGAATGAAACTCGATATAATATAATATGCGAACATCTGTGAAAGCGTTCGAATTCGAATTTCACGCATCCGTGAAGAATCGTGATGCAGTGTTTCAAATCGATTACACTTGAATCGATTATAGACGCCAAATTTTATCAAAGCAAATACCCTCATGTATTTTAGTGCCTGGGTCTCCCTTCATATTGATGGATGAAAGGGGGTATAACACGACGTGAACCTGAATATATGTCGACACCGTTCTTTCGCAAATACGAGAACTCAGTAGTAGCATCAGTGGAATTGTCGTCGGTTGTAACACCAACTTTCTTATCGTTGATCGTACCATGATGGTTATCAACAAGAGCAGTACCAGCACCAGCACAAGCACCAGCACAAGCACCAGCACAAGCACTAGGACCAACACCGGGACCAGCACCAACACCAGCACCGGGACCAGCACCAACACCAACACCGAGACTAGCACCGATACCAACACCAGCACCGGCACCAACAACGGCACCGAGACCAGCACCGGCACCAAAACCAGCACCGAGACCAGCACCGAGACCAGCATCAACACCGGGACCAGAACCGGCACCAACACAAGCACCGAGACCAACACCGGCACCAACACCAGCACCAACACCAGCACCGGCACGAGCATCAACACCGGGACCAGCACCGGCACCAATACCAGCACCGAGACCAGCACCGGCACCAAAACCAGCACCGAGACCAGCACCGAGACCAGCACCGGCACCGGCACCAGCATCAACACCGGAACCAGCACCGGCACTAACACCAGCACCGGTACCAACACCACCACATAGACCAACACCGGCACCAAAACCACCACCGAGACCAGCATCGGGACCAAAACCAGCACTGAGACCAGCACCAGTACCAACACCAGCACCGGCACCGGCACCGGCACCAGCACCAGCACCGGCACCAACACAAGCACCGAGACCAGCACCGGCACCAACACCAGCACCGGCACCAACACCAGTACTGGGACCAGCACCAGCACCAACACCAGTACTGGGACCAGCCCAGGCATCAGTACCAATACCAACACCAACACTGCCACCGGGGCCAGCACCAGCACCGAGACCAGCACCGGGACCAGCACCGAGACCAGCTCCGGGACCAGCATCAGCATCGAGAACAGCACCGGGACCAGCATCAACATCGAGACCAGCACCGGCACCAACACCAGCACCGAGACCAGCACCAGTACCAGCACCAGCATCAACACCGGGACCAGCACCAGCACCGGCACCAGCACCAGCACCGAGACCAGCACCAGCACCAGCACCAGCACCAGCATCAACACCGGCACCAGCACCAGCACCAGCACCGGCACCAGCGCCACCACCAGCACCGGGACCAGCACCAGCACCGAGACCAGCACCGGCACCAACACCAGCACCGAAACCAGCACCAGTACCAGCACCAGCATCAACACCGGGACCAGCACCAGCACCAGCACCAGCACCAGCACCAGCACCAGCACCAACACCGGCACCAGCACCGAGACCAGCACCAGCACCGGCACCAACACCGAGACCAGCACCAGCGCCACCACCAGCATCGGCACCGGCACCAGCACCGAGACCAGCACCAGCACCGGCACCAACACCGAGACCAGCACCAGCACCGGCACCAACACCAGCACCAGCACCAGCGCCAGCACCAACACCGGGACCAGCACCAGCACCGGCACCAGCACCGAGACCAGCACCAGCACCGGCACCAACACCAGCACCGGCACCAGCACCAGCACCAGCACCAGCACCAACACCGGGACCACCACCAGCACCGGGACCAGCACCAGCACCGGCACCAACACCGGGACCAGCGCCACCACCAGCACCGGGACCAGCACCAGCACCGGCACCAGCACCGAGACCAGCACCAGCACCGGCACCAGCACCAGCACCAGCACCAGCACCAGCACCCGCAACAGCACCAGCACCAGCACCAGCACCAGCACCAACACCAGCACCGAGACCAGCACCGGCACCAACACCAGCACCGGCACCAACACCAGTACTGGGACCAGCACCAGCACCAACACCAGTACAAGGACCAGCCAAGGCATCAGTACCAATACCAACACCAACACTGCCACCGGGGCCAGCACCAGCACCGAGACCAGCACCGGGACCAGCACCGAGACCAGCTCCGGGACCAGCATCAGCATCGAGAACAGCACCGGGACCAGCATCAACATCGAGACCAGCACCGGCACCAACACCAGCACCGAGACCAGCACCAGTACCAGCACCAGCATCAACACCGGGACCAGCACCAGCACCAGCACCAGCACCAGCACCGAGACCAGCACCAGTACCAGCACCAGCATCAACACCGGGACCAGCACCAGCACCAGCACCAGCATCAACACCGGCACCAGCACCAGCACCAGCACCGGCACCAGCGCCACCACCAGCACCGGGACCAGCACCAGCACCAGCACCAGCACCAGCACCGAGACCAGCACCAGCACCAGCACCAGCATCAACACCGGCACCAGCACCAGCACCAGCACCGGCACCAGCGCCACCACCAGCACCGGGACCAGCACCAGCACCGAGACCAGCACCGGCACCAACACCAGCACCGAAACCAGCACCAGTACCAGCACCAGCATCAACACCGGGACCAGCACCAGCACCAGCACCAGCACCAGCACCAGCACCAGCACCAGCACCAACACCGGCACCAGCACCGAGACCAGCACCAGCACCGGCACCAACACCGAGACCAGCACCAGCGCCACCACCAGCACCGGGACCAGCACCAGCATCGGCACCGGCACCAGCACCGAGACCAGCACCAGCACCGGCACCAACACCGAGACCAGCATCAGCACCGGCACCAACACCAGCACCAGCACCAGCACCAGCGCCAGCACCAACACCGGGACCAGCACCAGCACCGGCACCAGCACCGAGACCAGCACCAGCACCGGCACCAACACCAGCACCGGCACCAGCACCAGCACCAGCACCAACACCGGGACCACCATCAGCAGCGGGACCAGCACCAGCACCGGCACCAACACCGGGACCAGCGCCACCACCAGCACCGGCACCAGCACCGAGACCAGCACCAGCACCGGCACCAGCACCAGCACCAGCACCAGCACCAGCACCAGCACCAGCACCAGCACCAGCACCGAGACCAGCACCGGCACCGGCACCAACACCAACACCAGCTCCAGCACCAGCACCAGCACCAGCACCAACACCAGCACCGAGACCAGCACCGGCACCAACACCAACACCAGCTCCAGCACCAGCACCGAAACCAGCACCAGCACCAGCACCAGCACCGAGACCAGCACCGGCACCGGCACCAACACCGAGACCAGCACCAGCACCAGCACCAGCACCAGCACCAGCACCAGCACCAGCACCAGCACCAGCACCGAGACCAGCACCGGCACTGGCACCAACACCAACACCAGCTCCAGCACCAGCACCAGCACCCACGCAACCACCGGCACCAGCACCAGCACCGGCACCAGCGCCACCACCGGCACCAACCCCGGCACCAACCAGCACCAGCACCGGCAGCAACCAATACTGTCATTACCACCATCATTATTATCACAATATGAGCAACTCGAGTCAAATAATCTGTTATTCAGCAGAGCAGCTTTTTCAACCTGGCTTTGTTGTTTTCGCCTTCATGCCCCTGTACTTAACCCATCTACTTGTAAACCTATCCCCAACTGAAACTTCCAACTACCGTCGTCTAAATGTCAGTCAAAAAACCTTGTTTATAATATTGTGTGGTATTACTGTTACACTTAATTTAACGCTGGATAATGCTTTCCACGCCTGTACTTAACAAAAAAAACAAGGCAGCCGTAAACCATACCTACATTATTAACGCTTAGAATTTAGCTGCAACCTGAATGGCGATATGCATGTCTTAATGACTGCAGGCTCTATGTGTCGCTAACTAAGATTACCAAGAATATTAAAGGTGATCTGCGAAGACTCTAAATCATCAACATACTGACAGCTGATAACTGTCTTTTCCATCCCATTTGCTGCCCGAATTACCACAAAGCATAGGAACGCTTTTCAGTTTCGTCTATTGCAGAAATTACAAGATTCCATGACATTTCTTAGCATGCATAGGGGCTATAACGGCAGTTATGATGGTAGATGATTTGTTTGTAATGGAAAAACAATGAAAGTGAAAGAAAAAATGACAGCGTAAAATTTTGTGCAAATTGTAACAAAACAAACCCACGTGCTAATTGGCCATTTGGGTGTAGCAAGATACCGTCACGGTCCATGAGAACTCTCGTAAACTAGGCGTCTAGACATCAAAGATGATTGAAAGAATTGTACCTGGAACCTTAAGACCAATCATACACACATTTGACGAACGTAAACGTTAATAGAATAGACCAAGTGCCCCATATCGCAAAGATGTAACGAGGCATAAAGAAATACCCAATAAAAAATGAAAATTTCTCATAAAGCACTCGCCAGCCAAAGAGGTTGTTTTTGTCACTCCTGTAGACTGTTTACATGGCCGCCGGTAGGCGTTACCACCCAGAAGTTGTAAGGTGCACAAATGCAATGACGTCATCAATTGATGTGTGCTATTTTAGAGCTCTCCCACGGAGTGAGATAGTTTCGTAAGGCATGTCGAAAACTTTCATCTGCGCATGTGCGCCACTCCGCTGGGGGTCACTTTTACGTTATGTGCTGACACACTGCAAACATTTCAACTTCCATGTCTTGTTTGAATCTCTGAGGAGAGGATGTAGCGGGTAGTCGGATTAGGAGGGGGGTGAAGATTTATCAGACAGATGTTACTTTCACGTAATCACCATCTTGCCGATTTCACCTGCTCAGCACGCCAGTATTATCAATCAGCGCAACACGTGGGAAGCTTCGAAGGTTCTCCAAATGCTCACCAAATGGTAAAGGTCCATGAACATGCCACCAAGGGCAACATCTCACTTATATACTTATATAGCGACGCGTGCGTGCGTGCGTGCCCGGTGCGTGCGTGCGTGCGTGTGAGCGTGTGTGTGTGCTTGTACTAGTCCGGACTGATGCCGATTTATAGTACTAGCCCACTAAGATACCATGCCGCAGTTTAACATGAATACCCCACTCAGACACAGTATACTGACTCCGAGCCGACCAGGCCTTCTTTTAGCTCCTTAATGCCGAGCGCCAGGGAGGATAAGTACCCTCTTTTAACGTCTTTTGGCATGACGCGGCCGGATCGAACACCGGACCTTGCGCTCTCTTGGCGGACGCTCTACCACTAGACCACGGAGGCTGAACACTGAAGACGTCAACAATGCAGTGTACTCAGTATAATGAATATCTAAGTATTTCTTAAGATCGGTATATCTTAGTGCTAAGGGATAGTGTTATCGGAAAATAAATTGTCCCCGAAATTTCTTGAAAAACATAATTATGCTTCAGACTGGTGAAAAAAACGAAATTGCATGCCACAAAAATTACATTGTTGCAAGGTGTTTTTTCTGACTCGAAGTTTTAAAAAAACAGATATCTGGTTTTATAGCTGTAGCTATAAAAGTATCTAATCTCGATACAACACCCCACTCCCCCCCCCCCCCCCCCCCCCAACCCCAACCCCAACCCCAACAACACCCCAACACCCAACAACACCCCCACCCCTTAGTAAGATCTGCTTGTCTAAGTGCTTAGTTAGATCTGTATATTTTAGTCCTTAATAAAATCTGTAAATCTTAGTGCATATTTAGATCTGTAAATCGTAATTCTAAGTAAGATGTGTATGTCTGAGTGCTTAGTATACCAAGATATGCGTATTTGTGTGTTTAGTAAGATCTGTAAATATGCTTGCTTAGTAAGATCTGTATGTGTGTGTGTGCTTCGTAAGATCTGTATGTGTGTGCTTATAATTATGACGAGCTGAATGTGTATGTGCTCAATGAGAACCTGTTTGTTGTGGCTCGGTACGAGGTTTACCTGAATGTGCTTAACAAGCACTGTATTTTGTGAGGTTGTATTTCGCGGTGCTTAGTCAGTATATTTGTGTTTCCTTAAGAAGAACTATTCATGTAATCTTGGAAAGAATTATATTTCAATAACAGCTGTAGTGCGCTTTGAAAAACCTGTTGTCTTTTCTGTATTTTGTAAATACTGTATTGTCTGTGTTTTGTAAGAACTGTATCTCTGTGTGAACAGGGGGTAGTTCTATAGATATTCAACTTCTTTATTACAATGAATGCGACGTTTCGGTGTATAGTAACAGTACATTGTTGTGAAGCAAGTGATGCCCAGAAATGTGAAGTTGGTAGGTTATATACACGTGGATAATTCATGTTTATACAACAAATAAAGTTGAAGTATGTACATATAAATAGGATTAGCAAGGCATGATAGTCAAAACAATACAGTGATTGTTGAAGTTGATATTGATAGGCAGTATTAGGATGAGAAGGATTAAGACAACTATTACTGAAATATATCTTTTTCGAAACTTACATGAGTAGTTATTAAGCAAACACAAAACCAGTTCCTAAGAAGCATAGACAAATGTAAGTTTTACTATGAGAATGCACACAAATAGAGTATTACGACTCACACTCAAAAAAGTTCTTACTGAGCATATGTATATGTTTTAACCCCTGCCGAACGCCAGGCAACGGGTACCATCAACAAGTACCATCTTTTAACGTCTTTTGGCACGGGGATCGAACTCCGGGTCTTCCGCTCTCCGGGCTCTCTGGGCGGACGCTTTACCGCTAGACCACGGAGGCGGTCGTTCATAATAAGAACTGTATAAGACTATATGTGTGTATTATCATAACAAAACCTACATTTGTGCATGTTCTTCGGAACTGGCTTTGTGATTGCTTAATAAGAACAACTCATGTAAATAAATAAATTTTAGTAATAGTTTTAGCGTGTTTTGTAAAATCTGTGTACTTTCCAAGAACTGTATACGTAGTGGGTGTGGGTTTTTTTAACTGAATATGTGTGTGCTCTGTAAAAACTGTGCATAGTTATCAAGACCTCTACCAGGAAACTATAACTATCTAGTCAATTATCTACGTTGTCCAACACAAACAATAGGTTAAAGAGGTTTCATTGGAATATAGATTGTCTCAAATGTTTCAACACTGTATGGAACCATTCAGGTATCGGGGTTTGATGACGTCCCCTATTTTGTTATATCCGAGGCTGAGACAGAGGGGTCTCAAAACACATGGAGTTGCAAGGGAGACTTTCAGTTCATGTTGTTCTTCATAATTCCAGCATTTCCAGGTCCAGTGAGCAAATATTGCACGATAGTTACCCAACTGGATGTACATACATCGCACAGTTTCGATTTTCCACCACGTGTACAAGTTGTCTCCGTCCCTGAAACGACGCCATGGATCGATTACACCCGCAGATCCGTTGCGTACTTCAAACACGCCGACGGACCGGTAATTAATGGTCCGTCTCAATATTCTTCTTGATAGCACCCTTTGGCTTACGCTTTTTGAAGAGCTTCCTTCAATATCTGCTCGGTCGGAATATCAAAATAAAAACTTATCCGTAAGCCCAAAATGCCACACGTGTGTCAAATATGTGCCTGAGTGCCTGCAAACACACACAAAGACTAAATACAGGCATACTATCGGTAGCTAGATCAGGACGGAACGGTAAAACTACTTGGCGTAACATTAGCAGTTTGAAAACATTGGGTGTACTGTACAGCTTTTGAGTGCAGGGGTGTTTGGGGTCGGGGCGGTGGAGGTGGATTCGTGTTCATTGTCCACCGTGTGTAGAAAATTTAAAGTAGAGCCTCAATGACCCCTGTTCTCTGGTCAAAATCTATCCCCCACACACACAACAACAACAACAAAAACACACACACCATGTATATATTGTGTTTTCCAGGTTTTGCCAGGTTACTGTGGCCAAATGGATACGTTCCATCGGTGAAATTCATTGGTTATTGTTAATAATTATATTGTTAATAAAAATCCTATTGCTACATGTCATTATTGAGGGGTATAATTAAAGTGAAAATCGATAATGATACCAGGTGTTCGGAAAAAGGCGAGCGGACCCCCCCCCCCCCCCCCCCCCTTTCCGGTGGCACCCGTCACAAACACACGC